CATATATGTATATATATATATATATATATATATATATTTCTTCTTTTTGCCAAGGCAAAGTATCCTCTAGATAGCTTTTTGTAAAATTTGAACATCATTAATATGATATTAGCATTCTTAGCAACAAAAAAATACATATATATATAATTTCTATTTTGGGTAAATAAATTTTTGAATATAAATTTCTAGACCATCTAAACTAGGTTTTAAATTGGAGTTGAGCAATCAAGTATCCATTAGGATACGGATTGGATATTTTGAATTTTGGTTCTAATTTATATCACATTTTAGATCTCATTGTGCTAAATTTGTAAATATGTATTGAGGTTTAGATATAACACATTGATTTTGGTTCTGATTTGTATCACATCCTAAAACCATAAAGTATTCATATATCGTAAAAATGCGGCTTATACTGGTTCGGTCCGAATATATCCAAAAGTTCAATCCAAATTTTTTAATCAAAACATAAGAAATAAATACTTATTTATTTAGAATCATATATTTAAGGTATTTTTCAAAATTTAAATATTTATTTTTAGATATAACTCGAAAAGAAATATAGATTCGAGTAATATATTTATGTTTCAAAAATATTTATATTTGTGATCAATTTGAACATTCAGATCGATTTTTCAAATCTTTACATGTTTATTTTGGGTTATTGGTTAGGATTGGCTACCACCCTACAAGATCTCTTATGGTCTTTTTACATTTCAGATCGGGTATAGATAGGATTTTTGTAGTTTAGGTTCGGCTTGGACTTTGGGTTATGAATTTTATGCTTAAGCATATTTTAAATAAAGAGAAAAGACTATTATATAATGTACATTCAACAAAATAAACAATATACATCAATTTATAATCTCAGTCACATTAACTAATAACATGAATGTTTTTAAAACATTCAAAAACATATTATTTCATTGAACATATACCCGCGCGGGCGCGCGGGTCAAAAGCTAGTTTTATTTTATAGGTTATGTCAAATTCAAACTTAATTTTGGTCTTAACTTTGCAAGCGCAGAATATTGTTTGATGAAAAATTTCATAAATAACTTAACAAATATTTTGATAAGCCGAAAGAATTTATGTATTTAAAATATTTTGCATTTAAATCAATATTTTTAAATTCAACCCGAGCCTCGGTTAAACCGGTGATCTGATCAGTTTTGATTCTTAAAAATATCCATATTTAAAGAGTCATTAAAACCCAAGATTAACCGAGTGAACCAATGTATAACTGATCTGTAACATTTAAACATGTATAAGTTTATTTTTGTTGTTTTATATATTATTTGAATTTTTTAATTTTATCTAAATAATTTGAAAGAAAATTGTGAGAAAATATTAAAAATAGTGATATTTCATATTTTGTATTTTTTTGACATAAGATTAATTTTAGTGTTGTTTGGAAACATGGATAATAGTATATAGAAATGAGTATATATTATAACCTCTTTCAATTAATACTCTATAAATTAATATACTCTAAAAGTTTCTATAAATAATAATTTTATAGTCCAAAATTGAGTTTTTAGTTCAATTAGTATATCGATAAATTAATAATATCTATAAATTAATAAAAAATATAGTTTTGGTGTAATCCTAATACTATTAATTTATAGATGCTTCATTGTATAGTGGTATAAAGAAATAGATATATTGTTTGGAAAAATAGATGATAGTATAAAAAAATAGATATATTGTCTTGAAACATGGATAGTAGTATAAAAAATTAATATTATAATTTAACGTAGGTTTAATTATAAAATATAAAGATATATTTAATTTATTAACTTACAAAGTAAATGTTAGGTCTAACCTAATGTTTCTAATTTAATAAGATAGATTTTGTATGGGAATGTAATTTTAATTATACCTTTAATAGAGGTGAGTGAATCACGCATTCGGGTGAACCTACTAACAATAGAAGGGGTTATATTTAACACGTCAATATAGTTAACATAGATGCTAGATATTCGGTTAAACAATTTTTCCATATTAAATTTTACTTTCAAAATTTCTTTGTTGATGATAGAAAAACAGAATCGGTGGGTTAACTTAAACCGTTTAATTTCAATACACAATAAACGAACAGGACCAGAAATCACCCTTATCATTTTCTCAGAATAAGCTATGCGAAAATAATAATTCTATATATGTAATCACTGTTCTGGTTATATACCGATTTTTTTTTTATACTGAAATGTTTATATAGTATATGAATTAAAAATATGTAATTAGTAGATACTTACATTAGCCCAAATAATGATTGTTGATTATTATATATGTAACAGATAATAATGGGCTTCAAGCATATATAAAAGTAATGTCCATCACGAAATTAGTGTTGCTAAAATATCCAGTGGCATCAAATGGTAAATATTGAGGAAAGTTAATGGTTAACTTCAACTTGTACTTCAGTTTTAATAGATTAGATATCACATAGATAGTGACATTCTTAGAAAAGGCCGCAGGCCCACAGCCCAAACCACTATTGCATATACTGTGGCAGAAACATTTTTTGTTTAATCTAATCTAGTGACATCATAGTATCAACATCTGGCTTTAAATCTGAAAAATGTATTTCTAATCTAGTTTATTTTTACTTTTGTCTTGGTAATATATAAATTAGCTTACTTCCTATTTTTGATTTCTATTATGTATTTGTTGTATGGTTTAAACATTCGTCCGCCCAACCATATATTATTCCCATCTTCAGAAAATGCCAATACAATTTATTTTAAATTCTTATGATTTTGGTTTGATCAAGATAATTGTTTCCTTTAAGAAACCACAATGCAACCACAACTCTATGCTCACTAAACCGAGGCAATATAATTGTTTCATTTACGGAGTATTTTTTGTAAGAGTATTTCTAGCTCCAGTCCATTTCTTAATCTAGAATAAAATTTACTGTAATTTTATTATATTTTTAATTCTAGAATAGAGTAAAAAATGAGTTTATTTCATTAATTAGTAATGATTGTTTCGTTTATTTATCACTCTATTTTATATTTTTTTATTTTAAATGAAATAATATTATGGTAGAAGTCAACTCCTTTATAAAATTATTTCATTTTAATAAAACATAATTTTATATTATAGACGCTCTAATACACATAAAATGTAAATCAATTTCCAAAATAAAATAATCATTAAAGTTTGATGTTTATTTTTGTTTGTCTTGTCTACTTACTTACTTAGTAATCTTCGATTACAAAAAAGTAAAGATACATTGAAACTCAGCAAATTAAAAACATTTTTTATGGGAAGTTCCATACACGAAAATCTCAAAAAAAAGAAATATATTATTATTATTCTAAGATTTTTTTAAAACTACAAAAAAATTTAATCCAAACTATTTAAACCGAAAAAGTTAAATTTGATTCATATTATTGTGGAAAATTAATCCATTAAAAACGATATTTCATTAACAAATTAAAATTTCACATTTTGCTTTTATTTGTATCTTTTTATTTTTTTCAGACCTGTTTTATGGCACAAGTGAAATAAATAATCGTTTAAGATCTAAAATATTTTGAAGTTTTTTAAACTAAGATTTTTTTTAATTTTTGTTAGTAAAAAGAGTATTTTTTTAAAAAAATTTAAATATGACCTCAATTTGATTTGGACCGACCCTGATCCTTTTACTAAAAATCTATTTCATTTTTTTGTCATTTCACAAATAATCTCTATTATTATTATTATATTATGTCGAACTGTTTTTGTATACATCACCCACACAATTCAAAAGAGAATTTAATCAGTACACATTACAAACAAACAAGCATAAACTGTAACTACAACTACGCATTTGTTTTTTTTCTTATATATAATCTCTACCGTGACACATGATACGAGTATTATCCACTAATGGTTTCCTTGGGGTTAACAGCAATGCTAATCGTTAAGGACATTAATTTATTACCAAAACAATTACAAAACATTACTGTTTTACTCTCATCTGTCCACTGTTTCAAAATTTGAAAATCCTTTCATAAATAAATTAAATAATGTTTTCCATCAACAATCTCAATGTCGTCTCTTACTCTCTCTCTCTCTCTCTTTGACCACCTCGAGTCACATCACAGAACCTTGACCATCAACAACACAACACAAACCCCATAGATTCTTTAAAAGTAAACAATCTTTCCTTTCTCATTTTATCGATCTTCTTCTCAAGTCATGAGTAGACAAACTCCAAATCTCGAATCTTCTTCCTCCAATGCTGACTCGAGTCCAGCTTCTGGATCCGAGAGCTTCAAACCCAGCAGTAATGGCTCCCAAGACGTTAGGCTCAACAACAGTGTCAGCTTAAGTTTCTGTAGCAGTAACAGTGTAAGCAGCGAAGCTAATCTCGAAAAGTCTCAATCTTTCGATACAAATGAAGCTTCTTTCAAAAGGGTCTTCTCTCCTTCGAAGCCGCATAAAGGGAACGATCTCAGATGGGACGCGATTCAGAGCGTGAAATGCAGCAAAAACGAGGATCTGGGTTTAGGGCATTTCAGGCTGCTGAAGAAGCTGGGGTGTGGAGATATTGGGAGTGTGTACTTAGCTGAGCTGAGAGAGATGGGATGCTTCTTCGCCATGAAAGTGATGGATAAAGGAATGTTGATGGGAAGGAAGAAACTGGTTAGGGCTCAGACCGAAAGAGAGATTCTTGGTTTGCTGGATCATCCCTTCTTGCCAACGCTTTACTCTCATTTCGAGACTGAGAAGTTTTCTTGTCTTCTCATGGAGTTCTGTAGCGGCGGAGATCTTCATATTCTCCGGCAAAAACAGCCCGGAAAACATTTCTCCGAGCAAGCCGCCAGGTTACTTTTGCCTTTTGAGCTCTTCAGTTTCATGTTTTTGGGTTTTGTCTTAAAAACATTCTACTGGATCTACTGTTTTATCTAATCAACGGTCATGATTCTTGTCTGAAATTGAAGTCAAATTGGTTTGTTCAGTGTGTAACTGTAAGTATCTGAAACCAAAGTCTGTTTTGTCTTTTTCTTGGCAATGTTTTGGATTTGGCTAATAAATAGTGAAATCAAATTTATTTGATTGTTTCTGTGTAACTTTTAAGATTTTGAAACCTTTTAGATTCTGACGGTTCCTCTGTTTTGTCTGTTTCTGTTTCTTGAATCTGGCAGGTTTTATGCTTCTGAAGTACTTCTTGCTTTGGAGTATCTTCATATGATGGGTGTAGTGTACAGAGATTTGAAGCCAGAGAATGTAATGGTGAGAGAAGATGGTCACATTATGCTTTCTGATTTCGATCTTTCCTTGCAGAGTTTCGCGAGTCCTAAACTGGTTCAATCCACTTCACAGCCTTCTTGTGACATTGCTACGTACTGTGTCCAACCTTCATGCATAGTAGATCCATCCTGCAAATTACCTATAACATGTATCCAACCATCGTGCTTCAAGCCACGTTTCCTCAACAGTAAACCAAGAAAGGCCAACAAAACCGAGAAAGGCGGTTCAGATTCACTCCCAATGCTAATAGCTGAGCCAACGGATGCTCGGTCTATGTCCTTTGTGGGGACTCACGAGTATTTAGCTCCTGAGATCATTAGAGGAGATGGTCATGGGAGTTCTGTTGATTGGTGGACTTTTGGTATATTCCTCTACGAGTTGTTAACCGGGAAAACGCCGTTTAAAGGTAACGGTAACCGCGAAACGCTATTCAACGTTGTAGGACAACCGCTGAAGTTTCCCGAAGGGTCTATAAGTTTTGCAGCTAAAGATTTGATTAGAGGTTTGCTTGCTAAAGATCCTAAGAAGAGGTTAGGTTTCAAGAAAGGTGCAACAGAGATTAAGCAACATCCTTTCTTTAACAATGTGAATTGGGCTCTAATCAGAAGCATGAACCCTCCAGAGATACCCAAACCTATCGATCTTTCCATACTAAATGAAACCCTCAAATCATCAGTTCAGCAACAACAACAACAAGAAAAGCATTCACAGCAATCAGATTCTTCATCAGGTCCTTATTTAGAGTTTGAGTTCTTTTGATGCAAACCTGTATGGGTACATGTATTCATTTTCTCCATGAATTTTTCTTTCTTTTGCTTTTAGCTTGTGTTTCGGTCTTTTAAGCATTTGTATTAAGCAACAGTTTTGCGTTTGCGGGTTAGGTCATGGTTTGATTAGCTGAATGGATCATATCCAGTTTATATGTTTATAAATGTTTAAACATTAAAGAAAAAGAAACACACAAGGATTTGGGAAATGGTTTACGAAAAAAGCATAACTTTTTGTCCTTTGTTGCAGGAAAAAAAGATTTATATTTTGGTGGTCTAATCGAGAAAAGTGAAACTAAAAAGATGCAAACTTTTAGCTTATGGTTTGATAAAAGTATATCTTATAGGTTATGCTTTGATTTGTTGAAGGGATCATTTTTATTTATATGTTAGTCCCCACTCCAAATTTTTAGCTTTTTCTTCTATGTTTTGGCTTTTGAAGCTTTAAAGACAAAACAAAAACCTTTTTGCATGAAAGATTCTACTTTCTTTAATAGTTATTCTCTGAATATGCTAAAAGATCTTTTCCCCAAAGAATGTAAAAATTCTGAAAAGAAAACAGAAATGAGACAACACATAGAAAAAGAATGACTTGTACCATCTTTTATGCCATGGATGCTAATGGTGAAAGAGAAAGCATTTACTTTAAGATTGGCACAATTCATATGCGATTTAACTTCAAATTAGAAAGCATGGATGCATTACCCAAGGAATAAACTGGATTGACAGATATGAGATATATGATAAACAAAAGAGTTTATTAGGCCAAAATCAATCCCTCTAAATTATATTTGCAAAATCTTATGAAATGTGACATAGTTCATAAATAATTATTTATCATGATTCAATACAATATTCTAAAAAGAACGTTGGATATGGGCTATATCAAGTGGATCGGTCACGTAGAGTTAGAACTGTTTCTTTCTCCATACCTTGATAACTTTGAAAAGAACGTTATCATCCTTTGAAGTACCCCATGCAAGTATTCATTTGTCCCAAGAAGGTGATTACCGATTTTACTTTAAAGCAGAAGATGATTCAAAAACCGAGGCATGGTTAATAACTTTTGATGACAAGTGAAAACCAAATTTGATGACAAGTGACAGTAATGACGCATACACCGCTCATGTGTCATGTAGTTAAATTCATGTCTCCATAACCAAACTGATTCAAATTCTTAAATATTTTTTCTTTTCTTTTTGTTTCAAATTCTTAATTTAGCTTAAAATGTCTCCTAATTACTTTAAAGCTTGAAAAACATTGACAAGTTTCAGGAAAGACTTTGTCTGGCAGCAATCTTATGTAACCTTCCAGTTTCTATTACACATTTACTGTATTACAGTAAATTGAGAAGAAGCAAACAGAATGAATTATTCTCATGTATAAAATTCCAATCAATATATTGTCAGTAAAAAATTCATATTATTTTTTATTTTTATTTTGGGAAAGAACGAGGAACAAATGCTTTAATTTGTTTAAGTTTTCATTGTAATTATCTTAGTTGAGTGTAGGCACATCGGTAACTTAATCATACTCTTTATTACATTTTTCAACTCTCATCAAATTGCATTAACTGATTATAAAAAACTTTAATATCCTTCCCTTGGAGCCTAATATATATTGACTCGTAATTCAACTATGTAAATCACTTGAATCCCTCTAATTTAACCAAAAAAACGAAAAGAGAAGGATAAATTAGTTTAATTACTTTCCTTTTATCGTGCCAAAATAACATCAACGAGAGAAAGAATAAAAAAATGAGAATTCAGAGTTTTGTGATACCGCAACCAAAATCATAAGCATCGTGGGAGCCGTTGGAGCAGTCGTAGGTCTACTATGGTGGATTGGATCCGGTTCGAAAAAGGAAGAGAAGATGATGAAGGCACCTGGAAAGGATGGCTACATTGTCAGGAGAGAGTTTGTAAACAGCCCAAAAGATTACTTCAAGAATTTACGTGGTAAAAAATGAAGAAAAGGGAAATATTTCTGAATATGTATGCGGAATAAATTTGCTGCATCTGACATATATGGTACGTCTATTTATTGATTGGTATCAAACTGCTATTTTTACTCTTATTTTATGTTCTAATAATAGCCGGCTTATGCTAATAGCCTAATATAATATTATAACGACCACTGGTCTTTTTAAATTATACTTTTTGACTAAGAGCATCATTCAAGTTATTGTGTACTGTTACATGTTATAAAATTTACTGTTATGGATATTTATCTTTTGCAAATCCCTTCTAATTAATTGTGGGTGTTCAATCAAATTTGAAGAGTAATCACCTCAGCCCCCAAATTCAGTGTTACTCTATTGTTAATCAGACCTTTTGTCTCATTATACTTATCAAAGATGTTTAGACTCTCTTAATTTCAAGATCCCTAATCATCATAGATTCAAGTGCAAAAAGGGACATAAAAGTCTGCCGAATCTTAAAATAACGTGATCATTAGATAAGAAAAAAAAAACTAGTGATCCCTAGTTTCATCCCTCTCAACACTTTAAGATACATTTTCATCTTTTCCATGCAAATATCTTTTTTTCTTTCTTTCACTTTTAGCTTGTTTAATTTTGTTTTTAGGCTTTTTATTAAGGAACAGTTCTGTGGTTAGGTTATGGTTGATTAGTTGAATGGATCATATCCATTTTTTATGTTTATAAAGGTTCAAACATTGACGAAAACAGAAGTTTTTGGGACATGTTTACGAAAAACAAATCTTTTTGTCTTTTTTTTGCAGGAAAAAGTTTTATTTGTGGCGATCTAATCTAGCAAAGTTAATTTAAAATGATGGAAGTGTCATCTTAAGATAAAAGTATATGTTATATTGGTTATGGTTCTAGTTGAATGTATCATATTCATTTATATGTTTTCTCTACTTTAATTTTTTTTTATTTATGTTTTCTAGCTTTCTTTTTATAAAATCTAACTATCATGTGCTTTCAAAACATGAATGAAATCTAGTAACCATGTATACTTAATGATGCAATCTGAAGCCAAGAAAAGAGGCAGCTCAGTAACCACGTATACTTAATGATGCGAGTAATATATAGAACCAAAGGTCAGAGAGTTTATTACTTCGGAGATGCGTTAGGTATTTTCAGATTGTTAGACCAAGCTAGATTGCATACATGTTATATATGAAAGAACAAAGACAGTTATAACATTTAGTTTTTACACGTGAAATCATGGCAAAACTGAATAAGAAAGTTACCTGACTGCAAGTATTTATGGAAGTTGTTGTTGTACTGGGAAAACATATGCTTCTATCAGTAGTCCCATCAACAGAAGAAAGAAGCTCACTAACATAAGGAGAAAAAGCAATGCCTTTGGTGCGCAGCACCAAACCAAACAATCTCGAGCTATTTTAAGCTAAAAAGATTACTTCTTTGTTCTATTTTTGAAAGGATATTCAAGCTCTTCTTGTTCATGTGTCGAGAAAGCTTCACGTGTGGACTCATTGTTCCCTAGTATTGTGAGTAAAGAAATATCATGAAATTTAGAAAACATTAATAGCTCTAACTAGCTTCAGTCTGGAAAGCTTTTTGCTGCTCGTGATAAATATCTTGAAAAGAAAAAGTAATGTTAACAAGACACCATTTTCATTTTAGCAGTGCTTTTTGATATAGCAAAATCAATATGAGACTTAACTGAAGTTACCACTCTGTATTTAAAAAAACTAATCAATAGCGCTGGAATTTTGATGTAGATATTTTTTGTTGTGTTTTGTCCATTTTTATTCTCATTTTTATTTCATCACCACCAGCCACGTCCAAAATCTCGTCACCGATATCAAAAGTTATAAGCACCCAATGCTTTTCCTTGACGAGCTTAGCCAATATATATTTTCGTTTTGTAAGTGCTAAGAACCTAACCAGTAAAACAAAATAACTTGTAGTTAATGTATATTTTATAGGTTATACAGTTCACAATTCAACAATTTTATTTAAGGTCTAAAACAAAATATGTTAAATTGTTCAAGATCATAGCTAGGTTGATTAGAGAAGAATTATATCGACTCACTGGATCAGGATATGAATATATAGAGAGGGATACTATCGACGACTAGTTCCAAATATAGGTTGACTCTAAGACTTATTAGATTATACAAAACTTCCTAGGTAACATTTTCTCTTTACTCAAGTTGTTATATATGTAAAAAGTAACGGAAGTTGCCATTTCTCTTATCTAGTAGATCGTAGCTAGGCATTTCATAGATGCATAACTTTGATGATATTAATTGGTACTTGTACTGTATGCATAGTTAGTAAATTTAGCATTACGTAAATTAAATATTTCATTCTGTGGCCTCATGGTAACCTCATAGGATTAATTATATACAAAGACAATCCGAAACATAAAATGTACAAAATCCAAGATAGAACATAGTACTATCTCTTGAAAGTGATTGTACACTTGAAATCTTGCTAAGTGATTCACAAAAAGGGCCAAATTTTCAAAATGAGTTTTCTACGATGCGTGATATTTTTTTTTAAATATGAACTATATTTTAACCTGCACACCCGTGCGGGTGTTTATTTTCATTGATGAATACCGCACCATAATTGATGTGTGCACAATAATATGTGTGTTACTGTCAGAGGTAGAACAAAGAAATATCTAGTTTTTCCAACTACGTTTTTGATAAATAACGTCCCGCATATTAACTATTGTTGTGAATTGTGCATCATTTTGGGTTTGTTAAAACCACACCAAAATCCACGAACAATGTGTCGGCATTCATACACTCAAGCTTGAGAAAAATTGACAAGCTTCGGAAAAGACTTTGTGTAGCAGTAATCTTCTGTAACCTTCCATTCTCTATTACACATTTACTGTATTACACAGCTATCAACTGTAATCTCATAACCGACTACAAGTTGAGAAGAAGCAAACAGAATGAATTACTCGTGTATTAAAGAAAAAAGAATTATTCGTGTATTGACTTCTCAGTTTAGCCAAAAAAAAAACAATCAATTACTCGGAGTATCATTATTTTTATTTTGGGAAAGAACGGGGAACGAATGCTTTAAATTGTTTAAGTTCCCACTGTAGTTATCTTAGTTGAGTGTAAGCACATCTTTAACTTAATTATACTCTTTATTATGGTCTTTAACTCCCATC